TTTAAAGTACCAAGATGTGATGTTTTTGGAGGAGGGGACAAACCTATTTGTGACGTTTTTGGAACTACTTTATTGCATACTTTTGTAATTGTGTTATGTCACCTTATCACCCAAGTGTATTGATATGTCCAAAGTAGTGCAGTTGGTGTAACTGAGTTAAGGTTAAGTTCAATTTGAAGGCTCTCTAGTTTCTTTGATGTTTTGTGTGTTCCTGAGTCAACACATCACACTATTCATCTCATTCTCTGCAGGATTTACCGTTTTTGAGTTAACATGGACTCTGCTATGGTTGTCATTGTAAATATTACAATATTAATCTTTCCGTTTTAGGGTTTCACAAACTGGAGTAAGAGAGATTTCAACCAGTTTATCAGAGCTAATGAAAAGTATGGTCGAGATGATATTGAAAGCATTGCCAGAGAAGTGGAAGGAAAGAACCCTGATGAGGTGAGAAATTATTCATCTGAAAACTGATTTCGATTGGAATTGTATCGGTAGTTGTGTAGTTGTCTGTATTCAGTAATTCTGCAGGGTTCGTAGTGTTGGGAAAATCCTTTGAAAATCTTTCGATTTTTTGAGGTCTGGAAAGTATTTGAGTTTTCTTTAAATTACAGGAGAAATAAAAAACAAAAATTAAATTCCTTCATAAGTAAAAAGTCCAGTTTTCTCTGCATAGTCTGTTTTTATAAAGTGTTTTCTACCCCAGTTCCGACAAGTTTCGGCAGTGATTGCTATCCTCGCGCCCAAATTAAGAGTTAAAATGTCTTGGAAAATTGCAAGAAAGTTTGGGAAAAGGTCTGGAAAAATCTTGGGAAATCATTTGGCTCTTAGTGCTATGGATCCTGTTCTGATATGTAAAAGTGGCAGACCAGTCATATAAATAATGCAATTTTTGGTTTGTGTACTTCTGCAAATATTTGTGTCATTGCTTACATGTGCTTCACATGTGTTTGTGTTTTCACTGAATTATACAGATTTTGTTGAAACTTGATTAAAAGATCATAATCCAAGTGCCAATTGAAAGCCATTATAGTTACCTAATTAAATAAATACAAAAGAAACCAGCCTTGAATAATAAAGTCCATGGATATTACTTACCGCCTGTGACATGTCTCTGCAGGTTATTGAATATTCAGGCGTGTTTTGGGAGAGATGTAATGAATTACAAGACATTGAACGTATTATGGCACAGATTGAGAGAGGTGAAACAAAGATACAAAGGAAAGTTAGCATAAAGAAAGCATTAGATGCCAAGGTAAGACTGTGAGTTGGGTAATGTGATGCAGTATGTGTGATGTGGTTATATACAGAGAACTTCACTAAAATAATCATCCTCCATGCATTTGTGGGGTGGCGCCACATCACATCCCAGTAAAAGTCATTGCGACTCCCTTGGACTCCAGTAAAAGTCATTGCGACTCCCTTGGACTCCAGTAAAAGTCATTGCGACTCCCTTGGACCCAAATAAAAGTCGTTGTGACTCTTTTGGACCACAGTAAAAGTCGTTATGACTCCCTTGGACTCCAGTAAAAGTCATTGTGTCTCCCTTGGACCCCCCAGTAAAAGGATTTGACTTTAACTGAAAATTTAACTAGAAAAATGCACTCATCCTGCAAAGAATTCCACTTCCAGGAATCACAAAATTTGAGATTAGTCTGGATCCCAACTGTAGTCGATATGAAGAATGAATTTTCAATACCACACAAATTGTTTCTCAAAAATAGTGCAACAGATGTTTAAAATGGTAATGTTTGTCGTGGGGGAGGGGGGGGGAGTTTCGAGTCCCATTCAAAGTGCCTGCCAAACGCATATGAATATTGTGCAAGCTGCAAGACTTAAAAATATTTTCTCACTAAATTTTCTCATTGTATTTTATGATAGATGGCTCGTTATAGGGCACCATTCCACCAACTACGTATTGCTTATGGTACTAATAAAGGTAAAAACTGGACGGAAGAAGAAGATAGATTTTTAGTCTGTATGTTACATAAATTGGGTTTTGACAAAGAGAATGTGTATGATGAGTTACGTACATCCTGCAGACAAGCTCCACAATTCAGATTTGATTGGTTTCTCAAGTCTCGTACTGCCATGGTAAGATCTTGATTCATTCACATTATATCTACATTTAGATGGTCTTGTAGCCATTATTGTGCAAGCAGTATATACCATATTTGCTGATTTACAAAGGTGTTGCAATTTTTCATACCAAGTGCTCATCTGAGAGTACTTGTAGTTTATCAGGCTCCGTATATCAATGTTAAGTACATTTTTTCTTACATTTGGAATTATTCTTTAGCTTCCAGGTGATTGAAAATTTTTGGCCATTTCTACACACATGACGATTACAGTAACATGTACAGGGGCCAATTCATGATTGAGGCCGTACATTGGATTTAGTAATTACATGTTTCTGATGGCTAACTAGCCATTTATAGGACAGTTTCTGTCATGATCATATTTTCACTGGGAAAAGTTTAGTGTCAGTTGGCCATAGCGTGTCATTGTTTGCTTCTACCTATGCGCCTCTGTGTTTTTAGCGTGTGTTATCAACGCTTGGGACTCAATTCCTACACATGTGCAGGTGACGACCCTCTCGCTTTAATAAACAGTTAACACTTTATACAAAAACATGCACAATTCTGAGCTCCACCAAATATTAGATTCTGGCTATTTTAAAAAAAAAATAAAAGTAAATTTATTCAATTCTTCTTGTACTACCATTCAACACTTACTTTGACTTCACATTTCTCTCTAGGAATTGCAACGTCGTTGTAACACACTTATTACATTGATTGAACGCGAGAATCAAGAACTGGAGGAAAAGGAAAAAGCTGAGAAAAAGAAACGTGGTAGGGCAAGTGGAACGCCAAAAATCAAGGTAATAATAAAGTGCCAACAATTTCCTGTTACCATATTTGTTCTATTAGTAACACGTGTGCGTATTGCAGGTGTTTTTACAAGGAAAGTAAGTCGTTTTTTTGTAATTTAGTGTGCAGCAAATGTAGTTGTATTTGTATGTGCTTCCAATAAACAAATACAGGAATGTGACAGTTTGATACAGTCAATGAATGATTCATTTTGATCGTTTAAAAAATTATGATTTATATATGATGATGAAATATGAAAATATGATTTATTGATATTTGTTCCCTCTCTAAAAAAGATAAAATCTCTCTCCATAACCAAACAACTCTGATTACATTGTTTGATACTTTTAGTCACCATTGTTAAACTAATACTCCAACTAATTGTGAACCACCCACTTTTGTATTTCTTTGCAGAGTGTTAACTTGTATTATATTAGTTAGATAACTGTATACTAATAATAATGGGTAACTGATAGTTAAAGTTTGGTTATGAGAGCTAATAGTGTCCTGTGTGAGGTCATGCTTCTAGTAAAAGTCTGATTATATAAACCCATCGTTTTGGTCAGATGACTAAATTGCACTTCACTGTAAACAAAAACTTTTGTATTTTTAATCCATAATATCATTTCACTTCACAGACTGAAAAGAAACAAGAAAAAAGAAAAGCCGATGGCACTCCAGATGGACGAGGAAGACCAAAGAAAAAGAAAAATTAAATAAATTTATGAATATTTATATGCCAGGAAAATACTTTTTTAAAAGATGTAGCATTTTTGTACTTTAAAAGAATAACAGAAATGAAGGGGTTATCGTGATTAATTCAAGTCTGGAATTGTCTTCAAACTTACTAATGAAGACGTTTCTGTCAGTTTTAGAATTGTTACTGTCAACTGTAGTGGTTTAACGCAGGCAAGTTACTGTCCGATAATGGTGATAATAAATGTCTGATTTGGAGGAGAATGCATGGTAAATGATGACTGATATTGCCTTAATTCTAATCGTAATGTTTTGCATATTCTATCTCTGTTGGTAAAGTGAAGCTAGTTCACCAAGAAAAACACAATATTTGTTGCATATTCTGCGGAGTGTAATTCATAGAAGGTATTATTGCTTGTACGAATCTCAATTGGAGACCAAATACATACCAGAGTGTTACCGATGACTTTGCATCACATTATTAGATCTGTTTTATCATTTTTATGTAATTTCATATCTCAATTGAGAACCATCAAATACACACCAAAGTGAAACTGATGACTTTGCAAAGACGTTTAAACGTACGTTTTATCATGTTGCTTTTATTTACAATTTCTCATCTTGTGAAATTACAATACTCTGTACATACAGTATATACCATTTATTTAGGAATCTAAAATTAATGTGTATCATTTTTGGATTAATTTCCCACATAGTATTTATTGCTGCCACATGCATTGTTCCAAATATAGACTGTATGCCCCGGTTTTGTTGGTTCAACATTTTTTCATTAAATCCTTTTGTATTTTAACCCTTAATGTATAGTGTTACCTATTTTGTTCACCAGTGTTTGAAAAGATGGTTTGGCCAAGCTCAGCCACAGTGTACCCCTTTTCTGTTTACCAACTTAGGGACATTGTCAGTTCTGATGACCAAATATGGCAGACGTTTCTGACTAACAAAGGGTGGTGTCACTTTTTATGACCAAATATGGGGTCATTACTAATTACCAATGTCATTTCAAACTACAGGGTTGTGTCAATTCTGATTACTGAAAGAATGGTTGTCTTTTCTGATTACCAAATAGCGGGTGGCATTTATGACCTAAACTAAGTGTACAATTATGTAGAAGTTTATTAAGCCATAAGAAAAAATTATTACGAAATCAAAAAAAGATTTTCATAATTTTTTTTTTAGTGTGATCCATATACAAATCTGTATTTAGAAAGCTAGTTTTGTTGGCTGCCCTACCATCTAAACTTTGAATTTTATATTTTGACAGCGCACTTCAATTAATTCAGTAATGTAACTATCCCCAACAGTAAGATTGTGATTGCATTTCTGTAATTGTGTGCCAATTTGTAAGATAATGCCATTAAATGTGAGAAGTTTAACCTATTAGGTTTATATTCATTTGATTATAGTCAGAAATAAATCAGTTTTTTCACTCCTAGACCCGACTTTCAATGGTCTAAAACACATAAAAAATATTTGGAAGATTAACTCAAAATATTTCTACATGTACATCCTATACAAATTGTTAGTTGTACCATGCATGTTAATTCTAGGTATCAAACTGCCGTTTTCATCACTCTCAAACTACCTAATTTTCAAGGACGTAAACGGTATAAATAGTGCAACAGGAGTGTTCTATGCCTAACAAAGCAAGCAAGGTTGCTATATAAAGTACATGAGACGTGGATCACTGTTAACTCATCTCAGCAGTGGTACTGAAGGTGTCTGGAATGAGTAAGCTTACTCTGCTGACTCGTTGGACCCATTATTTGTTTCATATTGTTATGCATGTCAAGTAATAAGGATATCATTTTTGACAAGTCATAAGTGATCTATACAAGATTCATATTTGGGAATGCTGTCTCGAATATTTTGCTTGATGAAGTTGTATTTATTATCTGTTCATGTCTTCCCAACAACTTTTTGAAAGGTCTTTATTGGTCTATTGATAAAGTAATTTTAAAACCTGTCTGAAAATACACGTGCTACGACATTGCCCTTTTAAATGTACTATCGCCCATCTTCAAAACTCTGGCAACCATACTTGTTTTATTTGTAAGAATCAACACGAAACGTATACAATAAAGCAATATTTCGGATTTTATTTATGGCAAGTCATTCGTATGTATTCATAAGTTTGTCACATTTAATCTGAACTTGTCATCGTGATAATTTTGTGCAAACAAATTTACGTATTACATGACATGGATAAGTTTCCTGTGCGGAGTGATTTCTTTGAGTTGCAAAATGTGGAGGCGACAAAGAAATTGTAGCAACGCTACAAAAAGTTAATGGACTTGCATTTTTGTGCTTGAAATTTTGCAACATGTAACGCAAAAAGACACAAGCTCGAGAATGGTCAAGTTCTTCAGCTATCGTCTCTGGCTAAAATATTTACATAATTGGCTGGATTTACACGGGACCTCACCGCTGAATGAGCATAGAGCTGGGCCACCAATTGTTCAACTAAAGCAAATTTACCCTCTATAGAGGGACTGTGACTGACTGAAGGTATTCTGCAGACCCGATGTTATATGGAAGTATTTTGTGACATTTAGAATATTCTGTGCTGTTTACGCCATTGAAAAAGTGTCATGAGTACAGAAAACACCTGTTTGCCTCATAAGATGGGCATTATAATACAAGTAAAATTATTTCTGAAGACCTAATATGTATATGGGAGTATTTTCATGTAGGTTTTAGAATTGTACAAATGAAATCTTTTTTTTCTGAATATTTATGCTGTTTTCGCCTTTGTTGTTGAAAGGGAGAAATTTTTAGAGTAAAGAAAACAAGTGTTTGCTACTTAAACAGCTTAAAACATGTGTGGTACAAATAAAATTATTTCTGAAGACTCAATGAATTAGAAAGTGTTTTGTGATAGGTTTTAGAATTGTACGTTTACTGGTTAGTTATCAGAATATTGTATGCTGTTTATGCTCTCATCGTTGAAAAGAAGAAAGTATGAGTGAGAAAACCAAAGAAAACTAGGTATCTCGTTCTTACGAACTAGTATATCTTGTTATTACGAACTATTTTCTCAACATTATGACGAATTAGTATCTCGTTAATAAGAGTCAATCTAATTGTCCATAGATTCTTATACTGAATCCATAAAATTCCGTAATTTTTGTTTAAAGAACATGTTTATTTACAAAAACAAATTACAGAATCTGAAAAATATAAATATACAGTATAAAATAGGTGAATACATAAATGCTGAATTGAATGTCTATGCAGTATTATAGCGCCCTCACCTCCCTGAATAGCGCCAGTGAATCACTCCAAACCGACAGAAAGTAATCAGCTCACCAACTTGATATTGCCCCATTCCCTGCAACACTGGGTTGTAGATGTGTTGTAGGCCTAATCAGAGATTTGATGCCTGACAAGTTTTCTGATTCCACGCAGTTGTTATAGCAGTGCGACTTGTGGTTTTTAGAGAAAGCGTAAATTACTTTCGCACCACGTAAACAGTTGTATCTCTGAATGATGCAACCATGAGTCTTA